CTGGGCAAAACAGTGTGAACACTGTTGTAATTTAATCTCTGGACTGGTGTTTGGTGTTGTGCTTTGGCAGCAGTCATTAATCACCTGCTCTGCTTCCAACAACAACCAGGGAACATGGATGATAATACATTTTTATGTGCTTGTTCTTCATTTCACATCACAGCTGACTGACGGGTTCACCTTATTTTAAAAGTTTGTTGTGGAAGTGTCAAAATATAAAAGGACATTTTTTGCAGGAATAAAGACACACTAACATCCAAGTGGTAGCAAATGAATGTAGGCACTAGTCCAATGGTTTGCTTGACTTTTTAACAACTTGTAATTACCATAGGTTGACATGTAACATGATTGTTTGTGTACCTACAGTAAATATATATACAGTTTTAAAAGTTGTTATTGATATCAATGGCATAAACGCTTATTATACTGAATTTCACTATAATAATCTTTTGAACTTGGCAAACTGGTAGATATTGTAAGTTTTCTATTACACTAAAGTCTGAGTTTACTGAGCCACTGTCATATATGTTTCTATCCAAATAAATAAATAAACTACAGCTGAACTCAGGTGTCTTGTGGACTGGTAATCTACCGTAGCCTATGCTGACTGAAGGCCTGGTGATGCACAGCTCTGTAAAATATTCAGTTCTAAAAGCTGACTGTGCTAACAGTTATAGCTGGTGAACTGCTAGTTGCTGAGCTAACTGTTAAGTCACTAGCTTGTTGAGTTAGTTCTAGTCACCGCTGTTCCCATGGCATTTCTGTTTTTCTTTCTGTTCTATTTACCCACCTGTACAACATTGTACACCATTTTATAGCTAATGAATTTATTAGCTTTGTTTGCTTGCAAACATGACAATAAGTTCACAAAGGTTTAGTCAAAAGATGTGTTGCCACCGTCGGCTCTTGTTTCATTATTGTCTGCAAACGGTTGCTCTTTAGTGGAGTCATGAAGAGTGAATGGAATGCAGCTACGCTATGATAGCTTGCTCTATTTTAGATGCTGCAGTTATTGGTTCCCTTAAAGGTCAGAACTGTCAAGTCAGCTTGCTATTGGTTAACACCATAAATTTTCAGGTAAATGTCCACCAAAGTTGAGCTCCAAATAAAGAATGTAATTGGACTTAGTTCATCCTGCTGGTGTGACCACTGAGCAGGCATTATAGTAGCCACAAGCAAAGTACTGTTGTAATTACATCGTAATGATACAGTAACTTTAACGATAGCATAAAGATTCAATTGGTGATACAATGTTTCTTACTCTTGACGGGATATATTTTCTATTTCTCTTAATACCAATGTACAGAAATCTATTTTTCCACACTAAAGCAACATTACTGCTGTTCAAATAGAAGCTTTTTTTACAAGCTGATGGACTGAATAGGCTTTTCACTGTCAAGCTGACTCACCAAGCTCCTGATACTTCAACACTGTGAGCTAATTAGACAGCTAATTATGATTTTTACAACCTTTCCAGGCTGAGGATGTTTTTGTTGCACATGCCTGAAATTAAACATATGTTGTGTAATTAGAATCAACAGTTGTCATTTACTGTAAATTACCTGTGTTTTTTTCCCACATCACTGTTTGCTAACATATTTCAGTTGTAGACACACACTGTATGGTTTCAGCCTCCTGGTGTCATGTTTTCTTAATAATAGTCAAGTGATTGAAAAATAAATAAATAAAAATCCAGTTTGTTATAAATTTCCTATAATGAATTGTTTTTAAATGACATGATGGTAATATTGGTTGATGGTTGGCTGAGGGAAAAACAAAATATGAATATCTAGAGGTCACCACAGCAAATCATCACATGGCTCGCATGGTGACATTTGGCATGTGTTTTCTGCCTGATGCCTTTCCTGACACAGCCCTGAATCAAACCTGGGCCACAGCAGTGAAAGCGCTGAATCCAGCAACTCGACCATCAGGGGGTGGTCGGTGAAATAAATAAAGTATATGTAAGTTTAGATAAGGTTAATGTCATCCTTAAAAATGTGTGAAATGACATGTAAATATAGGTTATTTGTCAAACATGATACTACATTTAAAAAGATACTAATTTAATAACGATATAAAATAACTGTTAATAATTAACAAAAATACTGCTAACAGACAAACATAGGTTTTTACTAGAAAAGCTGAGTAACCGAAGTAGGTAAGGGTTACCCTACAGTTACTGTATGTAATTGGGACATGGATACAAGTGCAGACATCTGCCACTGAAACCTTCTGTCTCCTGTCAGATGAGGCTGGGATTTTCAGCATTGATCAGATGCAAAAGAAAGTTTTGCAATTTCCGGGTTGCAAGCGAGAGCAGACATCTTTACTGCTCCTCTTGTCTGTTCTACGATTTTTCACATCTTCTACATTTTCAAGTCTTTGAACAAATTCTACAACTATTAAAATGCCTCCAAGAGGGAAAAGAGCTAATAAATCAGAAGCGAACGAGGATGTTGAAGCAGAAGAGGATTATATTTCAGCGGCGCAAGTAACAGAGACGTTGAGTCAGCAGAAGCAGATGTACACCGCACTGTTGAGCCAACAACAAGACAACTTCAAAGGTTTTGTGCAACTACTTATGCAGACAAATAACAAGAGGCTCGACGACATGACCAGAGAAATACAGGAGATAAAAACGAGTTTGCAGTTTACCCAGCGAGATGTGGATGTGATTAAAGCAGCCATGGGTGAACAGAAAATACAAACCAAGGAAACAAGGGATGATGTCTACAAAACTTGTGAGAGTCTAATAGCCATAACGGATAAAATGGAGCATTTGGAAGCACAGTCCAAGCAAAAAAACCTGATCTTCGAGGGAATCAAGGAGTCAGCTGGAGAAAGCTGGACGGAAGCAGAATGTAAGGTGAAGGAAATATTAAAGGAGAAACTGCAAATTCATCAAGAAA